TGGAGACGGACGTCACTAAAACCACATTTCGCTTGGTACTCTTAATACCGTCAGTGACCACTGACGTGTTGCCTTCAATGTATATACACGCAGGCACATCTCATAACAGCCATTTGTGACAAACACAGCATTAACTTGGAGGACCATTTAGATGGAGATTTCTACAGGGCACTCGATATCTAAGGGGTAAGGTCACAGCCATATGAACCTAGAAGCTTCCTGCAAACCACAACATTCAACACATTTCATCGTTTGCATCAAATCACTGACAGATGCGTTCGTACCAGAAGCTTTTTGCAGTCATCGCAAGCTTTTCATCCTGCCTACAGGATGCCCATCACGACCATCCTTTCACAAACAACCCCTAACGGCTGTTCAGCAAAACTTATTAATTACTTTTTACTAATTCTTCTTTTGATAATTTGCTACTACTAACATTCCGTTATTTTTTACATACATTTGTTTTACTGTGCCCTTACTTCTTTATGTTTTAGTTCTTTTTGGTTGCGCATAAAACGCAAACCTCTACAAAAAAGTCGTGTGTAGTAGGATTAACGCATCTCCACCTAAGCGTTTTTTTCCCTATCCTTCTATGTGTCATATTCAGTTACTAAGTACTCAGCCGATTAGCTTTATCCACCTTTTTATTTTTTCACAAATATCCTTTTAACCTTCCTCGGAGGGGTAGACAATACCTACCTGGACTTAGAAGGTGCGGCAGTCGCCCAAACGGAATGAGGGTGATGATGTGGCTGCTGTTTCGGACTTGGATAGGCTGCATAGTGCGTAGACCGGTGAAATTTAGGAGTAAATGAAGGCCCCTCCGCGCCCCTAGCCGACTCATGTTAGATTTCTACGGTTGGTGTACACAGTGCGCATTTATTTTACCACCATATTCACTTTATGAATTGGTGCATGCACTGTTCACAAAAACCGGCAGCCCCACGCTTCCATCCATACCTCCCCCGGAGACAAAGTGGTTTCAGATATACTGCTGAGATACGCTGTCAGCGTTGGACCTATCGAAGCCTACAAATATACTGTATTGGCAGAAGTACTCCTCGGCATGCGGCTTTTAGAAATCTATCCATTTGACTTTTAAATGATAAGGAA